CAATTAACGACACTGAAAGAGAGCAGAATGTACCATTTAAAACATAAATCATCATCATCATTTTTTTCTCACCTATGCAGCTTTCTTACCAGTTTTTGTTCGATAGAATGATACATCTAGTCTCTAGTTTCCATGTCAAATTGTAGAAATATTGTGATTGATTTTGAGATAGTCACAGTACATTGAAAAAAATGTTGTGCATCATACAGTGTAAAAATCGAAAATGTGTGACAAAAGCCTTTACCATCAAGTTGGTGTAATAATATCACGCAAAATCTTTATAGCGTGTCTGAGATTAGTATTAGTGGTTGAATCACATCGATTTCATTGCTTAGATAGAAGTCCTCATTGTTCATTTAAGCCTATTGTTGACATATTTGCCATTCTTATTTTTTGTTTTAGTGAATGTGAATGGTACTACTTCACCAACTTCTTCATCGGGACTTGGTGTTCGTTCTCATTTAACAAATGGTACAAGTAAATTTGATATATTTGCTGCAGCTGCTGCCGCGCATTCCGTCCATCATGGTCATCATCATCACATGTCTGGTGCTATGCAAATAGCCACGGCTCTCGTTAAAAAAGCTCAACGATCCATACAACAACAGCAGCCTCTAACCGTACTCAACGATCAACAATATCATTCATCACATCATCGTACAACACCATTACAAAATAGTCCAAATGGAAATTTGAATAATACAGTAACTACAAATAAACGAAAACGTAAAACAGAACGTCCAGCACAAAAACGTGTACGTGGCTCATACAAACTCGTATCACCTGAACAAAAAGTAATGATTCATGAATATGCTGAAAAACATGGTGTTAAAGCAGCAAGTAAAGTGTATCAAGTAGCTCCATCAACTATTGCCTCGTGGCTTTATCAAAAACCAAATGGTGAACGTACATCGGCTATTCGAAATAAAGAAGCACATTCAAAAATTCTTGAATGGGTTAAACAACGTCGTGATTGTGGTGAAAGAGTAAATAATAAAGATTTTCATTCTTATGCATTGGCAACAATGAGAGAATTAACTGGAAATCCTGATTTTGCTGCTAGTCGAAGTTGGTGTAGTAATTTTATTAAAAAATATCAGATACAATTGGACAGGTAAGATATGGATTTGATAGAAATAAATAACTGAACATTGAAAGTAATCTGAAAGCAGTGACAAATAATAATATATATATAAATATATATTCTACTCACTGATTTTGGATTTTTTTTACTACCTGTAGGTATGTGTGCGTGTGTTTGCTCGTTAATTTCAGTAAAAAAAAATGTATATATATATATACATATATATATAATGATGTGCGATATTTGTGAAATTGGCAGAATGAAATATTTATTTATTAAATAAGGTTATCAAAAAGCCGTTTATAAATATTTTTATATGACTAAATAAATATTAATTTATAGATCAAAATAGCAGTCAATGTTAAAGTAATTCATATATAAACTTAACGCTTACTAATACGATATAGCAAAATAAATGATAACCAAATAATAGAGACTATTTTTAGTCGTAATGATGGATGACTAGAGGCCAAGAGATAGTGTATCAGATACAACACTTTCCATTTTTATAGACTAATTGGTGCTGTATGAATACATGTATTTTTGTCACTAATTAATATGAGATAAGCTTACTGTTGCTCAATCATAGACTGAACTCGCTGACATCAAAGAGATAGTTATCAAAATGAATTCAAAATGAAATATCGATACTTCTGTTCTTCTTTGTTTATTGCAGTGTTATATTTTTTTGAAAGAAAAGACTTTTGTTCCACTTATATCATATCGCTGATATCTTACGAATGAACGTTAAAACTAATTTACTTTCATTTGGTGCCGTAGTTTTCGTTTAATATTGGCTTGTTTATTTATTGTTGTTTATTAGCTACTTCAGTTTTCTTTGTTATAGTTCTGCAATTTTAATATTTTTTGCCTATTTTTATTATTATTTCGAGATCCTTTTATTTTTCTTTCATTTAATTTTAGTGATAAATTATCTGATTCGTCACAATTTCGATTTGATTCAAGCGGTCTTGATGAGAATGCTAGTGGTAAGTCATTTTAAATTGTTATTCTATCATATTTATCAAATTTTGAATATTTTTCTTAATATTTAGAAAGTTCATTATGTTTTCCTGGTGCTAGCAGTCCCAGTGATACAAAATTAGATGAAACTGCTCTAACAGATGAAAGTCAAATTGTATCACCCGATGAATCATCACATGTACTCCAACATTATAGTCCATTATCTGTTAATAATAGCAATGTTAATGGAACAACAAATTCATTATTAATTCAAAGTGATACAAATGGAGGAGATTCACCAAAACCTACAACAGCAACAACAAGTTTAAATGAAAATGAACAAAAAAAAATACGTCGACATCGTCATCATCAACAACACTCACAACAAAGACATTCAACAGAATCAAGTGGTGAAGGAGAAGATGATTCATTATCATCACCAACAAAAATAATGGCTGGAATACAAACAACACCACCATTAAAAACGTAAGAAAAAAATGAAAAATAATTTTAAAACTTAACTAAATATTTAATTGTTTTATTTTTTTGTAATAGTCCCTCGTTATCTAAAACTCGTATGAATGATGATGATCTATGTCAACAAGCAGTATCTACGACAAGTATTCCATCCCAATCTTCTTTATCTTCTCTTTCTTTAAATAATCAGACTTCAAAACGTACACTGAATCGTTTATTACATTCTCAATCTACCTTAAGTTCAACAAATAGTTCCCATCATCAACCTACAAAATCGACAACATCAGCTACTCGTCATTTAAGTTCAGATACACTTAGTTATGGTGGTCATTCATCGACAACTCATGTCAATGGACTCTGTGTAAATATGGCTATTTTACCACGATCACCATCACAACAACGAGATCAACAACCAACAGCTACAACAAACAATATTGAACATGAAACAAAAATTGATAAACAATTAATTATGCATAATCCAGAAACAACAACACAATCTGTTGAAAGTATGTATAAAAGTATACAATTTTGATATATTGTTTGTAAAATAAAATGTTTAATTTATTATTTTTAGCATTTGTACAACATTTTGAAAGTACTCTTAATACGATGACATATTTTCAAGAAAAATTACGAAATTTAGTTGTGACTATTGCACGTAAGTTTAAACATAATCTTTAATTCATTTTCTTCTTGTCATCTTTATTTTGATTTTATTTATAGAAGAACGTGATGCATTACTTCAATTATATTTAAAAGAACGTGATCGTCGAATTGTTATTGAATCACGTTTAAAAGAAATTATGTAAAAAGTCCATTATTACACCTTTTTTTCTTTCTAGTCAAAAAAACAATAATAATCTGTGATTT